TTGTTTCTTGATTCGATTCAGTTAATATTAATTTAATATGCTATTAATATTTATAATAAAATTAACAAATAATATTAGTTTACAAATAATGAATTATTGAAGAAAAAGAGAATCTTTTATAGTCTTTTTATTTTTATTGGACGTGATCTATTTGCAGCTTTTGAGAATCAATATTAAATCAACAATATTTTAAAAATGTATGATTTTATTTTATTATATTTATTTACTTTAAAGGCTCTAATGACTCGACATGCCTGCACGTTTACAGTGTTTACATTTGTGGGTTTGGGGGTTTAGGGAAGTGGGTGGGCGGGTCAATCGGTGCGTTTGAAAACACTATTGGTTGGGTTTAGGGAAGGAAGAGGGTGGGTCAGTCAATCAGTCATTCAGTCGAAAGCGGCCTCAGGTGCATTTACGCGAGAACAGCAGCCACAAATGGCACAAATGGCTACAGGAAAAAAAACCCACAAAATCCATTCTAAAGTCAAAGAGAACTTTCATTTTAAAAATAGGCATGGGATGGTGACAATTCAGGTATCTTCACTCAACTCTAATTTGCAGACTCACTTCGATTTGATTCAGTAAATGTTTATTTAATATGTTATTAATATTTACAATACAATTAACAAATAATATTAGTTTACAAATTACCAATTATTGAACAGGAGAAAAAGAGAAAATCTTTTATAATCTTTTTTTTTAGTTGGACATGTTCTATTCACATTTTTTGAGAATCAATATCAAATCAATCTCATTTGAATATTTATAATTTTATTCATTCATTCATTTTCTTGTCGGCTTAGTCCCATTATTAATCCGTGGTCGCCACAGTGGAATGAACCACCAACATATCAAGCACATTTTTACGCAGCAGATGCCCTTCCAGCCGCACCCCATCTCCGGGAAACATCCACACACACATTCACACACACACTCATACACTATGGACAATTTAGCCTACCCAATTCCCCTGTACCGCATGTCTTTGAACTGTGGGGGAAACCGGAGCATCCGTTGGAAACCCACGTAAACGCAGGGAGAACATGCAACTGAGCTGAGGTTCGAACCAGCGACCCAGCAACCTTCTTGCTGTGAGCTGACAGCACTACCTACTGCGCTACTGCGTCGCCCTAATTTTATTTTATTATATTTATTTTTTGCCCAGTGCTAATAAACAAACATACCCACAAATGTAGTCACTGTAAGTATGCAGGCATGTCGAGTTATTTGAATGTTTTATTTCTCGTTAAAATACAGTACGTACCATACTTAAGGTATGGTAACCCCGCAAATTCGTTCATACATTCATGTTTCTCCGTCTAAGTCCCTTATTCATCAGGGGTCACCACAGCGGAATGAACCGCCAATTTATCCAGCATATGTTTTACGCAGCAGATGCCCTTCCAGCCGCAACCCAGCACTGGGAAACATCCATGCACTTTCACACAAGCTCTCACACTACGGGCAATTTTCTTCATCCAATTCACCTATAGCGCATGTCTTTGGACTGTGAGGGAAAATGAAGCACCCGGAGGAAACCCACGCGAACACAGGGAGAACACTCAAACTCCACACAGAAATGACAACTGACTCAGCCCAGGCTTGAACATATTAGGTGACAGTGATAACCACTGAGCCACCGTGCCTCCCTGATCCCTAAATAATCGAAATTCAGTCAAATGATCTTGTTTGTATTCTTTAAAAATATTTGCAAGCTCTACATAAACTATATAAACAAACTAAATATGTTTTTATATTTTTTTAAATGCCGAACAAAAAAAAAATGCAAAAAGAAAGTTATAATTAATTAAAACAATTAAAATATATATGTAAATATTTAAAATATATATAAAGTCAACCACATAGTGTCTTCTTTATTTCTAGGGGATGGGGTATGTTTGGGGTGGTTTCAGCCACGGTTTAACCTAGAGCCACCACTGCCCTACAGAATCATCCCAATCAATCTAAAATAATTAATTCTTTCCAAATAGAGATATTCCAGTCTTCTGGTGAAATTGTATTCATATCGCAATATATATCGCAAAAAATAAAATAAAAAATATAGCAAAGTCAGATTCTTCCAATATCATGCAGCCCTACTGTACATCCGTATACATATATAAATAAATGTTTTGTATAGTGTTTTTGTGTATGTGTGTGTATCAGATATACATTATAAATTTATAAAATAAACACACACACACATATATATATATATATATATATATATATATATATATATATATACATACATATATATATATATATATATATATATATATATATATGTATGTGTGTGTGTGTGTGTGTGTGTGTGTGTGTGTGTGTGTGTGTGTGTGTGTGTGTGTGTGCGTGTGTGTTTGCGTGTGTGTACACACACACACATACACACACACACACACACGCACGCACGCACGCACACACGCACACACACACAATGATTAATAACTGATGCGTCCCCTAGCAAACTTGCATCTCAACAAGTGGCACACGACACATACGACATGCACGTTACAGTGCCATTAGACCAGAGCGAGTCTCAAAAAACCCAGTGACTCTGCCAACTGTGCCAAATTACCCTGCAAAGCCCCTTTCGGATTAACATCAAAGCTCATGTCTCGCCAGAACAAGAGTGCATCTGAGACAAACAACGGCATCTGCATATAATACAGCCAAAATCATACTACAACATGTTAAGGAAACCAAGAAGATACATTTCTGTTCTGACAGCTGAAGTGGAAAATCATCATGAGAAGAGTGTTTGAGTTGGCACATATGCCACATATTCTATCTGCAGGGCACAGACACGTTAAACCCCTGACTAGACAGTGAGCGGCAACATCAACTCAGCAATTGGCGTTTCGTTAGAGATTTATTTTGACTCCTTTAGGCACATAATATGCAGTGTAAGTTGAAGACTGTGAATACATTATGTAATTAGAACGACGGAATGTTCCCGCTTTTACCGCTACAATGTATCAAAACAACGTTTCAATTCTCCGGTCGCTCTAGAACGCTCGTCGTTTAGAAATTCGAACTTATTAGCGTCTTACCGTCTCCTGGAGATATTGTTTCAACCTCAACACCCATTCTGTTCGCGCGGGTAGATCCTACTGTAGTGAGACAGACAGAGAGAAAGAGAAGGCGAGAGGGAGAGAGACTGAGGCAGCAGCTCTCCGCCCACTGTCACACCAAATCTAACTGCATGCGCCCTCAGCTACTTTGAAACAGTGCATTTTCCAAAATAAAAAGTTGAATGTTTCTAAGGGCAAATTTTACTGGGCTTCCTTCATTGATCTAATAGACTGAAAAAAGGCCTGGCCATTACCTCTCATAAGTACTGCATTCCTAATAAAACAAAAGAGGTTAATTTTAAAATTCTTCATAATAGCCTATATATCCAGTGAATGGCTTGGGCAAAGTATATGGAGGTTTATATTTCATGCTCATTTTGTAAAACTGAAGACAAAACCCTGATTCGCATATTTTTTTTCAGTGTGAAAACCCCAAAAGCTTTTGCCATAGCTTATATCTTCACTGTAAAAAATTGACCTTAAATTGACAGTAAATTACTGGCTAATAATTGCATTACTTTCACAGTATAATTACATATGTAAATTCACAGCAAATTTCTGTTAGGTAGTTCACAGTAATTTACTGTGATTTTGTTACATTACTGTGAAATTACATCCATATAGTGTAACTTCACAGAGTAGATGTAAAGTCTATCACTGTGATTTCACAGTATTATCCAGTAGAATTAACCGTATTTTACCGTGAAGCAGGCTTTCCTCAGCTAGTTATTCTGACATTTACCCTGACTTTTAAATAATTTGGGGTGTTTAACAGAGTTTGGTTTTATAAATCAATTACTTTTGTTCCAGTTTAATATATTTTTGGCTGAGCACAAAGTTATGTTCGTTAATTCTTTTTTTTTTCCATATTTCCATGTTAGTCTTCTAAAATTAAATAAAGGAGCAGTGCACCCAAAAAAATAAAAACTTATTATGACATTCATGTCGTTTTAAAAACCGGATGATTCTTTGGAATGATTTCTTTTAAGTTTTTTTTTTTTTTTTTTTTTAAGATCCAACAAAATTGTTTTTGGGGCTGCAATAACATTGTGTTATTTTTTATATCAAACAAGTGCCAATACTGCCATAAAAGTTCATTTGTATTCATGTCTATGTTGAATGAAATAAAATAAAGTTTGAATTAACATGCAAATGTTATAGCCTTTTCTACATTAATTTGCTGTAATCATGCTACCTGCATTAATTTCACAATAAAATTATAAATACAACACAATACTTTGAAATTGTACAGTTAAATCCTGTAAAGTGATACTGATGTAATTTACTGTGAAAAATTACAGTAATACGTTGTGAAAATATGGAATTGTTTACTGAGTTCATATAGGCAATTACATTGTTTCTTCCAGCCCCTTTCAAGTACAATATATCATTTGTTACTATAAAGGTAAAACCGATATATCATATACCAGATAACTACATAAATAACTCTTTTATTTTATATGGAAAATATTTTATTCACAAGCAAAAATAAATAAAATTTTTGCCACTGCCTCGCTCATTTTGGCTAGATCTAGCCAGAAATTGTAACCAGCAACAAAACAGGAAGCAGATTTTACAATGTAGCCAGAAAATATCATTGTGCTCACAATTTGTTTAAAATGAGGTGTCAAATAATGATAGAACAATTAGCTAAAGTATAATATAGCCTAAGCAAGTTATAGTTTAATTAGTGTTCTGGAAACTTCACAAAATTGTTATAATAGTAAAATGATACCTTCAGTAAAAAAACAAAAAAAAAAAAAAAAAAATCATAAATGCAGCACTGTTCAAATGAGTTGAGTTGCAGAAGTGAATAAGACTCTTTGCTGAATGGATGGAGCTTGAACTACATTTCCCAGCATGCCCGCATCATTCTTTTTCCGTTTGTCCGTGACTTCAAATGTCTCCGCGGGGAAACGCGAAGACAGCTCTGGACAACATGAAGTTTTGTGTTGGAGTTGCTATGGGTTCCACATTATGCTATGGGTTCCATGGTATGTTTGTAATATTACATTTATAAAAATGCAGACGTGCTAATTATGTGATAATTTAACTTTTATTTTCAGGACTGTTCTAGAACTAGTTAAGCCCGCTACACAGGTTAGCATGTGGTATTTCTGTGACACGTGAAAATAGTTTTCCTACCGTAACGTTACCTTTACTACTTACTACTAAGTAGTTTACTACTACGTTAATACTTTGTTTTATTTTAGTCAAAGTATTGTGGTTATTATGGTTGCTTCTGTAACCTTTAAATGCAAAAATCTTTTATTAATAAGTAATTTTAGGCGAGAGAATATTATGTGGCTTAAATTTAAAATGTTAAAGCGACTTTTATGTGACTCTTGCATTACATTTACTCTCTTTTTTTGTGTCATTCATTTACTTTTAACACTAAAGTCACATTTTAATAAGCTTCTCCTTCTGAAGGCTTTTAGAAAATATTAATCGTTTTTTAAAATTACTTTTAATTAATTTGGGAATGACAATATGGCTCAGTGGTTACCACTGTCACCTCACAGCAAGAAGGTCGCCGGTTTGAGTCCTGACTGGGTCAGTTGGCGTTTCTGTGTGGAGTTTGCATGTTCTTCCCGTGTTGACGTGGATTTCCTTCGGATGCTTCGGTTTCTCCCACAGTCCAAATAAATGCGCTATAGGTAAATTAAATAAGCTAAACTGGACATAGTGTATGAGTGTGAATGAATATGTATGGGTGTTTCTCAGTTGCAGCTGAAAGGGCATCCTCTGTGTAAAACATATGCTGGATAAATTAGTGGTTCATTCCACTGTGCGACGCCTGATGAATAAAGGGACTAAGCTGAAGGAAACTGAATGAATAAAAATTGAATATAAATAATATGTTATATTTGTGCGTATATTAGCCAATGGAAAATTAATGAACGGGTTTTACGTACACTCATGGCAGTTCTGGTTAATTACACAGTAAAATTAATTGCTAATACATGCATTACCTAATAAGATTATGATAGTAGCAATTTTGTAAAAGACTACTTTTTTTTAAATATCACCATGCATTTTCCTTTTTTTAAAAAGTGTTCTCAAATTAAACTACAAAATAGATTGCAATAAATATAAGTTTCTGCTGTGATATTTTAGATATCAGAAAAAAATAAAATGTCAAAACATGAGTGAAATAATGCTGCTTGTTCATTCAGCATAAAAGATTTCTGTACAAAAAATAATAGTAATAATTCTGATCTATGTTACAGTATATATAAAAAATAAGGGCGAATGCAGTATTTTATTCATTCATTCATTTTCCTTCGGCTCAGTCCCTTTATTTATCTGGGGTTGCCACAGCGGAATGAACCGTCAACTTATCCAGCATAGCGAATGGCCTTACAGCTGCAACACAGTAGTGGGAAACACCAACAGTGCATGCCTTTGGACTGTGGAGGAAACCAGAGCACTTAGTCGGAGGAAACCCACGCCAACACGAGGAGAACATGCAAACTCCATACAGAAATGCCAACTGGCCCCGCCAGGACTCGAACCAGTGACCTTTTTGCTGTAAGGTGAATTGAATAAATCAGCCATAGTGTGTGTGTGTGTGTGTGTTTGTGAGAATGAGTGTTTCCCATTGTTGGATTGTTGCTGGAAGGGCATCCGCTGCGTAAAACATATGCTGGATAAATTGGCGGTTCATTCTGCTGTGGCGATCCCTCATTAATAAAGAGAGTAAACCGAAAAGTGAATGAATGAATAACACATCTTGCTGGAAAACTGATAAAAAAATCTTGTGGTTTGATTAAAGTATTGTGGCAAAATATGCACAATTTATATGAAAATTAATTAATATGTAATTCATAGTCCATATTAACTCATTATATATTTTTTTCTTTTAATGTCATCAAATGTTTCTTATTCTAAATATTTATAATTTTTGGCCAAATATTATTACACAGAATAATTTTTCGTTGGAGTAATCTGTAAAGCATTGTCAAAAAATACAAACAAAGAGTCTTCAGTCACTTAATCCTTCAGAAATCACTCTTATATTAATAAGAATTATTATTATTATTACTATTATTATTATTATTATTATTTATAGTAATAGTATTAAAAGCAATAATAACTTGAGTGATCATTTCTTTTTAAACTACATACAATAAGAAAGCAATTTTTAAAAATTGTAATAATTTTTAGCATTTTAACAAATTATTTTGATTGAATAAATGCTGCCTTGATGAACAGAATAATTTTCTTTAATAAAACAAAATGAAGAAAAAAATATCACCCCAAAATTTTGACTGGTAGTGGATAATATATATAATAGTTAAACAGCACACTATTAAATATCTATCTATCTATCTATCTATCTATCTATCTATCTATCTATCTATCTATCTATCTATCTATCTATCTATCTATCTATCTATCTATCTATCTATCTATCTATCTATCTATCTATCTATCTATCTATCTATCTATCTATCTATCTATCTATCTATCTATCTATCTATCTATCTATCTATCTATCTATCTATCTTATTATATACAGTGCTCAGCATATGCAAGCCCCTCACAAATATAATATTAATATTAAGCTATACAATATTATATTTGTGCATATACATTACATTAGTCAGTACTGAAGCCAAATCTGGAGCTTATCTAACAAAATTTACGATAACGGTCCAAATTGTTGTTATAGAAAAATATTAAATACGAAAAAAAAAGGAAAAATCAAGAGAAGCAAAAAAAATTAAAAATTTAGTTGAAATTTTGTAGGTTGTAATATTTTGCTTGATTTAAATTGTATGAATTATCAATTTCTAAATATGTTTGGTGACTAAAATATAATTGTAATAAATATATCTGTTTAATAAATGCACAGAAATACATTGCCTATTTTCACTGAGAAATGGATACAAATATTCATTTTCAAAATGGGGTGTACTCTATTATGCTGAGCACTGTATGAATCATTATATATGAATAAAATCTCCATCTCTGACCCATATGTTTTGCATACATTTTGTGCATTTCAGGACTGAAAAGGGCTGAAACAAAGTCAAAAGATGTAGCGTCCAAACCCCAGAGGGTTTTATGACGTCGAGGGTCGTGTCAGCCTAATCTGGTCATCCTCGAGTGGAGCCTCACTCTGGCCGATAGGATTAGAGAGTAAGGGAAGAGGCTTTACCTATTCTTGGAGTGTGTGATGGCAGTCTTCTCCTACTGAAGACAGAGTTACATCTACCTCTCAAATCTGTCTTGAAAAGCCTTTTGCTGTATGACCAAGAACACTGTGTTTCTTTCCATTGGTGAAACCGACCCAAGCATGGAGCTAGGAAAAGCCAAGCTTCTGAGAACCGGGTTAAACACTCTGCACCAAGCCATTCACCCGGTGCATGGAATAGCCTGGACGGACGGTAAACAGGTTTGTCTCACATCATTGTTTTCAGTCGAAGGTGAGCCCAAATTTGGTGACACCAATGTCATTGGACAGTTTGAACATGTTTTGGGACTTTTTTGGGGACCGCTGTGCTGCTCCGGGTCTCCAGCGCTGCTTGCAGTTCAGCATAAAAAGCATGTCACAGTTTGGCAACTTCAGCTGAGTGCTTTGGAGCAGAATAAACTCTTGTGCACACAGACCTGTGAAATGAGCGAGCCGTTTCCGCTGCTGTCCCAAGGATGTGTCTGGCATCCCAAAATGGACGTCTTAGCCATTTTAACCAAGCGGGATGCCTCTGTATTGTTTTCAGTGCGGGTTGATAATCGTCGCGTGAAGGCTGATATCAAGGGCAGCGGTCTGATTCATTGTGCCTGCTGGACTAAAGACGGGACCCGCCTGGTGGTTGCCATCGGTAGTGCACTGCACTCATATACTTGGAATGACATCCAGAAAAGCTTGGTGCCATGCTCGTTCTGCCCTATCTTTGATGTAGGTGGGTATATCTGTGCCATCGAGTCCACCGATGAAGCCCAAGTGGCTGTAGCGACCGAACTTCCGCTTGACAAAATTTGCGGGCTCAATGCAGGCATGGCGTTTGACCTCCCAAACGAGTCGGAGGGTTTGTGTCGTCCTTCTGCCGCTTTGACCGTCGATACGGACTACTATTTGGACAGACGGAGGTCATGTGATTCTGAGCGCTCAGGACATGCCTCATCCGGACCCATAGATTTAACAAACCTTCTTGCCAAACACCGAAAATCGGATCCAAGCCCACTCATTCACTTGAGGAAACGGGATAACTTGACTGGTACAGGTCAGGACTCGTCGCATTTGATTCTGGTGACCTATGAACGCAAGGTCACCACTACGAGGAAGGTCAGCATCCCTGGGATCCTGGTCCCTGATATTATCGCCTTCGATCCCAATGGGCACACGGTGGCCGTGGCGTCAAACACATGCAACATGATTCTAGTTTACTGCATCACGGATTCATCAATGCCCAACGTGCAACAGATCCAGCTCCAAAAGAACGAGCGCCCCAAAGGGGTGTGCTTTTTCACCAACAAGATGTTGCTCTTTATGATTGGCCGGCAGAAGTCCAATGATCCTGCTTTCCTCCCCTCCTCCAACACGGACAAGTACATCTTGAGGCTAACAGCCAAGGAGCTGGTATTCGACGAGGAAAGCACCACCAAGTCAGAGTCGCCGAGTCAACATCATGGGATTAGACGTCATTCGGAGAACTTCACTAAAGAGGACCGTCTGTCAATTAAGGATCTAATTCTTCCCGGAGGATCTGTAATTGTTTCACCGTCCAGTCGGAGGAAACTAATCGAGGAGGTGCGCAGCTCAGATCTGAGTCCTGTGGCGAGCTCTGCTGATTTCTCTGATAGAGCGTCCAGTGCTTCTTCTGTTACTTTAGAAAACTACGACATGGATCACATCACTCGCATGGCTTCGCTCGCTGTAGCCGGTCAGGCCAGTCGAGACTCAAGTCGACCCTGTTCACCCAGGTACGAGACCTCTGAGAAATTATATTCGGATGCCACGCCACCAAAAAACAGCAAAGAGAAGAACCTGGAGCAGCTGACACAGAACATGGAGAGGATTTTCACCCGGTTTGCTGAAGTTCAACAGTGCCTCTCAGAAATCAGAGAGTTCACCCAGAATGGCAAGAAGATCGCTTGCAGTTATCCATCAGCTTATGAACCACAATATGTGCACATTACATGTCAGGTAAGAAATGGTCTGTTGTTTATTTATTTATTTTTTTACATGCAGTGATTTCTAAACTTGGTCAGGGATGATCTTCAATAAAAAATGGATGATTTATTGTTAGATTAATTAGTAAGATTTTTAGATTAATTGTAAGATTTTTTTCTCTCAAATCACTGCATTGTAAAGACATCCATAATGTTCAAAACACTTAATATGTAACTCTCAAAAGCTCCAAAATCTTCTGTAAATATATTTAGCAAAAATCTTATGTAACCTCATTATTAATTATCAACTTTTTTATGGTATTTAATGCAAACCTCAAATAAAACTGACAATTACCAGCATGGACCATGCCACACATTGAGCTAGACTTTATTGTAGGGATGAAAGTGATGGTAAGGAAACAGTGGTATAAAGGGGAATAGAAGTAAGAGGAAAAACAGTGAACAGGTAGGTAGGTTGATCGGGTGTCCTACGATGATGCCCAGAGACTCAGAGTGGGGGTACTGTCTCTGTAATATTTTGGTAGAGTGATTGGATCCCCCAATTCAAACTAGGAGTGAAAAGAGGGTTATAGGCAGATCTAGATTGGCTAATCGGGAGAATTCCCGGTGGGCCGGTCTGTTTTTTTTGGCCGCGAGGGGCAGTGTCCCTAGCTGCTTGTGCTCTCAGCAGTCGCACTTTTTTATTTATTTGTTTATTTGACCATAGCATCTCTCTTTTTGTTCATTATTTTGCCACAGCTCCATTCTTTTCATTTATTTTCTCGCAGCCCCGTGAGCAAAATGCTGCCTGCAGGTTAATGATGAAACCCCAAACAGCTGCACCTTAGTGAATATAAAAATTTAAATAATGATTATTAATGAGTTTTACACACTTCTCAATGAAAATCAGATCATTCACTACATTAATAAATCTGCCATAACTTGATCAGAAATCTAAAAAAGGGAGAAAAAAATTAAGCCATCAATAGAAAGTAATACTGTGGTTAAAACTATTTCTTTTTTTATATTCTAAACACTAGCTTAACAGCGCCATTGTGGTCTAGTGGTCAGCACGTTAACGTAACGCCGACCGGAGTTTGAATCTCACCGGAGTAATTTTTTTCATTTATAATGTTAAGACATATAATACTGTGTGGGTAACTTATGTAGGTGTACATATTTTATTTGTATTTTTTGTGTGACCACCGTTACAGAGGACTGGATATCTCTAAAGAATTTTGCACAGAATATACATTCAGATATTGTATATAGTGTTGGAGATTTAGCTACCCTTTAATGTTTTCATATTTCTGAAAAACATTTGAAGTTCCAAAGCAGCTATGTCCTTGAAAAAGACGTGATAGTGTCATTAGAAACTGAATTGGAAATGACGTTATTTTAACATTGGCAGCCGTGAACTGAGGTGGGCTGGTCTACGGCTTTAAAGGAGTCCCACTCCGGCCCTGGTTATAGGATTGTTAATAGGAAGCGAGGAAATAGAAGCAGGGAGAGTGGGTTCGAGAGAACGAGATTAACAGTGCTAGAAAGCTAGTCTGCCTTGAATAAGTTTTTAGGCAGTAGGTGATTGGTTAAGGCATGGTCCCGCTACCGAACTTTTGTTAACAGGTTAACTCCATTTCATAAATACACACTCTCAAAATTCTTCTTATAAATAAAAAGTCTTCTAATAGTTTTATTTCTAACAATATACATTGCAAAAATATGAATTATATAGGTGGCGTGGTGGCACAGTGGTTAGCACTGTCGCCTCACAGCAGGAAGGTCACTGGTTTGAGCCACGACTGGCTCAGTTGGTGTTCCTGTGTGGAGTTTGCGTGTTCTCCCTGTGTTCACATAGGTTTCCTCCGGTTGCTCTGGTTTCCCCCACAGTACAGAGACATGCGCTATAGTAATATAATAAGCTGAATTTGCCTTGGTGTATGTGTGTGAATGAGAGAGTGTATGGGTGTTTCCCAGTACTTGGTTTCAGCTGGAAGTGCATCCGTTGTGTAAAACATATGCTGGATAAGTCGGTGGTTCATTCCGCTGTGGCGACCTCTGATGAATAAAGGGACTAAGCTGAAGGAAAATGAATAAATGAATATTGAACATGAATAATACTATGTATTTGTATGTTGGTGTGTGTAAATATTACAAGTAGATCTAACAGTTTGTTTATAATATGAATTTGACAATATAAGAGTAAAGACGCTTGAGTTTCTTCAGAAGATCCAGAAGTGTAGTGCAGATCAACAACTGAGCTCAACAGGTTCATAATCCTCCACCTTTCAGGCACATTTTTAGTCATCTTCACTTTGTATTTTACACGACTTTCATTCAAATGTTACATATGACGAAATGAATTATTAATCATTAAACGATTCACTCCTGGAGCTAAATCCTAATCCAAACAAAGCCCATTGTTTTCTTAGTCAGACCATCAGGCTATTTAGCATTGAGAAGCATCACGCCAACTCATAATTACTCTCGCCGTTGTCAGTACAACCCTTTGTCAGCAGATGTCAGATTGAAGTGACCCTATTGACTTTGGCATAACTAGTCTTAGACTTAATCCGTGACCACATGTCCAAGTTGGCTATGAATGGTGTTCATTGACTGCACTTCATATTTTTCTTTTCCTCCAGAAACAGCTGTCTGAAAATGTGTATACGGATGAGAGAAGGCCATTGCTGCTGTGTGGAGGTCGGATTTGCCTCCGGGTTGTGCAGGAACTCTTCGGCCTGACAGTTGTGGAGATGATGCATGGTACGTCTAGGAGAATGCATCTAAATATCGATATGATGCTAATCCTACCACCTTGATCAATGGATACACTCAAAATACACTTATTTAAAATTTAAAAACAACAAATATCTATCTATCTATCTATCTATCTATCTATCTATCTATCTATCTATCTATCTATCTATCTATCTATCTATCTATCTATCATAGTTGGACTAATATCCATCCATCCATCCATCCATCATAAATAGTTGAACTATCTATCTATCTATCTATCTGTCTGTCTGTCTGTCTGTCTGTCTGTCTGTCTGTCTGTCTGTCTGTCTGTCTGTCTGTCCGTCCGTCCATTCATTATAAATAGTTGGACTATCTATCTATCTATCTATCTATCTATCTATCTATCTATCTATCTATCTATCTATCTATCTATCTGTCTGTCTGTCTGTCTGTCTGTCTGTCTGTCTGTCTGTCTGTCTGTCTGTCTGTCTGTCTGTCTGTCTGTCCATTATAAATAGTTGGACTATCTATCTATCTATCTATCTATCTATCTATCTATCTATCTATCTATCTATCTATCTATCTATCTATCTATCTATCTATCTATCTATCTATCTATCTCTCTGTCTGTCTGTCTGTCTGTCTCTCCGTCCGTCCGTCCGTCCATTCATTATAATTAGTTGGACTATCTATCTATCTATCTATCTATCTATCTATCTATCTATCTATCTATCTATCTATCTATCTATCTATCTATCTATCTATCTATCTATCTATCTATCTATCTATCTATCTGTCTATCTTTCTATCTATCTATCTATCTATCTATCTATCTATCTATCTATCTATCTATCTATCTATCTGTCTATCTTTCTATCTATCTATCTATCTATCTATCTATCTATCTATCTATCTATCTATCTATCTATCTATCTATCTATCTATCTATCTATCTATCATAGTTGGACTAATATCCATCCATCCATCCATCATAAATAGTTGAACTATCTATCTATATATCTATCTATCTATCTATCTATCTATCTATCTGTCTGTCTGTCTGTCTGTCCGTCCATTCATTATAAATAGTTGGACTATCTATCTATCTATCTATCTATCTATCTATCTATCTATCATAAATAGTTGGACTAATATCCATCCATCCATCCATCCATTTGATATACTGACTTTTTAAATAACAATTTGCATAAGAGTTGCGAGTTTGCATACTGAAATAATAGAGTAATAATAAAGTTTCTCTCCATTGATGTTTCAGTCAGATTCGCTCTTTAAAAATGAGTGGATGGGATCCGTCCATGAATCTTGTTTTCCTTTGTTGAAGACAGATTGTTCGATCTGCTTTGGCTTCGTTTAATTGTCAATGACTAAAATAGGAAGCGATTAGGTGCTACAATCGGATTTGAGGGTTTACGTTTGAATCAGCTTACAGCCTTTTGTGCTGTGCATCACTACAGCTCATATACAGTATAGCTGAACCACTTATGCTAAGACATTTGGATATAATAGAGACCGTTATGCTTTACAGAATATTGCCTTCATGTGTAATGTCACTGTTTGTAATTGTAAAAGGTCTGACATTTTTAAAGATCAAAGTTCTGGATAAATGGTTTTATGGAATAACAAGACTCCTCACTCCAGCTTAATGACCAGGTCCACTATGTAATGGACGATCGCCTACACCTCTCCCTACCCCAAACCCAACAATCTCCACTATGTATTATACCTGGTCCAGTATGTGAATGTGATTTAAAAACTGCAGCAAGGACATCTTTGGAATAACTGACCATACGTTTTACAATAATCTAATAATATAATGTTGTTAGAGGTGTAACAGAAGGCTGGTTTTGTGGTCTATGGTCACAAATAATAGCACTTTAAGTACTTTTTGTCTTTTCACAGGTCCCATGTGGATCACTTTGGTGGCCGATGCAGATGGTTTTGTTCCACTCACGTTTAAACACAAAGACGAACTCACAATCAGAAGCGCAAGACGGAAATCACCTGCAAGACCCCCGAGTGGAGCAGATGACTTTCCTCCTGAGAGCCCAAAATCCCCAAGTATGGAGAAATGACACCCATATTACCTCAAAAGGACTTTAAAAGGATATATTTTTATAATATTCATCTTTTATTATTTGAATATGTGTGTGGCTGTCGCAGGAATATTCCAATAAAGGACAAATTCGCCACTTTGGTATTTAATGAGCGTTGGTAGATTTGCATAATGTGACAGTTATCGAGGGCAGAACTTTTTTTTTTTTTTCAGAATACTTGAGTGCCTGCTTGATTATTTTTGCTTAAATAGATTATATTTTTGTCTCGTACAACAAAATTGAACGTATATTGTAATGCGGTTATTAAAGACACTTCATAGTTATTATATTCTTTTATGTTTCATCATTGAACTGACTCGTGAGCTGCAAATAATCACAATCTGTTTTCGTAGTAGAGTCACATTAAAGGAACCACACAATAGCACATTCACACCTCTTAGCATCAGGGATGGATGGATAGATGGATGGATGGATGGACGGACAGTTAGATGGGCAGACAAACGGATGGATGGATGAATGGATAGATAGATAGATGGATAGATGGATGGATATTAGTTCATCTATTTATCATGATAGATAGATAGATAGATAAATGGATGGATGGATGGATATTAGTTCATCTATTTATCATCATAGATGGATGGATGGATGGATGGATGGATATTAGTTCATCTATTTATCATAGATAGATAGATAGATAGATAAATGGATGGATGGATGGATGGATATTAGTTCATCTATTTATCATCATAGATGGATGGATGGATGGATGGATGGATGGATATTAGTTCATCTATTTATCATAGATAGATATATAAATGGATGGATGGATGGATATTAGTTCATCTATTTATCATGATAGATAGATAGATAGATAGATAGATAGATAGATAGATAGATAGATAGATAGATAGATAGATAGATAGATAGATAGATAGATAGATAGATAGATGGATGGATGGATGGATGGATGGATGGATGGATGGATGGATGGATGGATGGATGGATGGATGGATGGATGGATGGATGGATATTAGTTCATCTATCACAGATAGATATATGAATGGATGGATGGATGGATAGATAGATAGATAGATAGATAGATAGATAGATAGATAGATAGATAGATAGATAGATAAAATTCATCCAGTAAATACATTCATTACATTTATTATAATATGCATCATTGAAATATGCTGAAGCTGTACAGTACGTGAACCAGCACAAGTTTTATTAATGCATGAATTCAGTGAGTCATTCGATAATAATTATAATCACTAATACAATTTAAGCAATATACTATCAGTTTATTTTCCCTGAGGAAATCCTGATATATGATATATATGTATGTATAGTCCATCCGTGTGTATAAATTAGCGTAAAACTGAATATGTGGCTATTAATGTTCATGTAAAAATACAGAAACGGACTGGATACAGAAGCAAACGGAGATGTTTACAGTAAAACATGATATATGTCACACAGTGTAATATACACTAACAGCTCATCCCAGCGCGAGGCTGGAATATCAGGATCTGCTGTTTGAAGAAGTCACACGCTGCTTAGATCAGCTCGCAGAGTTTTACACGTGATGCTCTGCTTTCTGAAAAATAAAGCAAATGTATAGACATTTTAATTTGTACACAATATGTATATTGGTTTTACTAATTTAGGGGTGGTAGAATAGGTTAGGTAATTGTAAAGCATTTTAAAAAAGTACTTGATATTTGTTAAAAATATTTCACAATCTAATAATATGATGTTGCTAGAAGTGTTTTCAACACTGATAATAATAACAAAAACACAATTTTTCACAATTATACATATATACTCACGGCCACATTATTAGGTACACCTGTCCAACTGCTAATTAACGCAAATTCTAATCAGCCAATCACAAGGCAGCAACTCAATGCATTTAGGCATGTAGACATGGTCAAGACGATCTGCTGCAGTTCAAACCGAGCATCAAAATGGGGAAGAAAGGTGACTGAAGTGAATTTGAACGTGGCATGGTTGTAGGTGCCAGACGGACTGGTCTGAGTATTTCAGAAAATGCTGATCTACTGGGATTTTTATGCACAACTATCTCTAGGGTTTACAGAGAATAATCTGAAAAAAAGAAAATATCCAGAGAGCGGCAGTTCTGTGGGCACAAATGCGTCTATGCCAGAGGTAAGAGGAGAATGGCCAGACTGGTTCCAGCAGATAGAAAGGCAACAGTAACTCAAATAACTACTCAATACAATCACTCTGACATGTCGAACCATGTCAAAGACAGGAAAAAACAGGAAACTGAGGCTATAATTTGCACAGGCACATCAAAATTAGATGATAGAAGAATGGGGAAAAACGATGCCTGGTGTGATGAGTCTCCATTTCTGCTGCGACATTCCATCCCTTTATGACCACAGTGTTCCCATCTTCTGATGGCTACTTCCAGCAGGATAATGCATCATGTCATAAAGCATGGATCATCTCAGTCTGATTTCTTGAACATGACAATGAGTTCACTGTACTTAAATGACCTGCACAGTCACCATATCTCAATCCAGTAGAGCACCTTTGGGATGTGGTGGAATAGGAGATTCACATCATGCATGTGTGCCCGACAAACCTGCAGCAACTGTGTGATGCTATCATGTCAATATGGACTAAAATCTCTGAGGAATATTTCCAGTACCTTGTTTGCTGAATCAATGCCACGAAGGATTAAGGCAGTTCTGAATGCAAAATTGGGTCCAACTCAGTAATAGTAAGGTGTACCTAACAAAGTGGCCAGTGAGTGTGTTTTTATATATGTGTACTGTAAAACATAATAGCTGGAATGAGAAATTCTCATTACCTGAGTTCCTCTAGAGCAACTTTGTTTCGTAACCGGACATCTTCGCTTATAGGATAAACCACGAGGATCATGAGGCCGGTGGTGATGCAGGCCACCGGGGCAGCGCCAATGAGCAGCTTCAGTGTGTAAACCACTGGAAGAGGCTGTCGACACGCTCCAGTGTCATAACCTGCAAACCTACAACAACAATAACAACACTGTGAACCCCGAAAACATGAGGTCAACTACAGACTGTGTTTACATGCATGTTCTCAATGGGATAGTTCACCCAAAAATCCAAATTCACTCACTTTTCTCTTGTCCAGAACTTGATTGAGTTTCTTTATTCAGTTGAACTAAAAACAAGATATTTGAAAAAAAGCAGAAAACCTGTAACCAATGACTTCCATAGTAGGAAAAAGCAAATAATATGGAAGTCAATAGTAGCAGGTTTTCAGCCCTCTTCAAAATATCTGCTTTTATTTTCAACAGAAGAAAGGGTAAGGCTTTATTTTGATGGTGCCTATTACACATTTTGCTGACTAAAAGTTGCATTGCAACTACATGTCAATCACTTCTCATTTGAGAATTAGTAGATTGTCTGCTTAATATCTGCTGATACTACTCCAACATTTAAATGACTATAAGTACAAGTACATGTCAACTTACACTAACCCTAACCCCAACCTAACAGTCTACTTATAATCTAATGAGAATTAGTTGACATGTAGATGCAATGTAACTTAAATTTACCAAAATGTGTTAAAGGGATCATCAAAATAAAGTGATACAGAAGAAAGAAACTTAAAACAAGTAGAACAAGTGAAAATTGAGTATATTAAGTGATAATTTTAAGTTTTGGGTGAATTATCCCTTTAACAGTATTATAGCGATCATTGGATATGTTTACATTATTAACTTTATTCCAAATCAGACAATACTCTGATTTACGTGTTGATTTGAGTTGCTTTTGGAATATTATTATCCTCTACTACACAGATGGACTAATGGCACACCTCATTACTGTACGTTCCCACGTGACACCATTTGATAGAATTTCACACATCAACATACATATTTTTATGGGGTGCCATTTGTGCCAAAAATGTGTTTACTAATTTGTACTATACATTTAACTATACACAGTTTTGGGTTTCATTCATTCATTCATCCATTCATTTTCTTTTCGGTCCCTCCATCAATCAGGGGTTGCCACAGCGAAATGAACCGCCAACTAATCCAGCATATGTTTTATGCAGCGGATGCCCTTCCAGCTCCAACCCATCACTGGGAAACATCCATACTCACTCTTTCACAAACTATACACTATGGCCAATTTCGTTTATTTAATTCACCTATAGCGCATGTCTTTGGACCGTGGGGGAAACCGGAGCACCCAGAGGAAACATGGGGAGAACATGCAAACGCCACACAGAAATGCCAACTGAACTCGAACCAGCGACCTTCTTGCTGTGAGGCGACCGTGCTACCCACTGCGCCATTGTGATGCCTTTTGGGTCTTTCATTTTTAATTTAAAAAAATGCCTGAAGTATGTGGAAAAAGACCAGTGCGGATACACATTTTTGATGTAAGATGTAAGTAATGAAAGCCTTATCTTACTGTAAACAAAGTGTGGAAACTCCGAGAGAAATGCCTGCAGCGAATTTGGTGAAGAAAGCGTATAGAGAGTAGAAGATGGCCTCGTGTCCCTTTGAGTTGCGGTTCGCCAGTCTGAAGTCATCGACTACATCGGGTAACATTGACCTGAGCCACAGAAACACAACACACAGTGTTCAGCATCTCCTATTTAACACACACACACACTGCTTCCATAAAACCTCTTTTAACAGTAGATGGCACATCAGAACTGCTATTTCCAATCAACTAGAGTGAGTGTACTGTTAAAAGACAAAAATAGCATGCTATGAAACCTGTTATTTGGAAATTGCCGGGTTATTAAATCTATATGAGTAAAATCAAAGCTTTGGTGGTTTATATAAAGAGAAGGTTATAATGTGTTTTTTTCTGGATCTCTTCTTTTTGAAGGTTTTTAAAAATGACAAAAGTGTATTTGTGAAAAAATGTGAGTGATACTCCCTTAATCATTGCCAACACAAAACTGATTACATCTAAAGGCTGGTTTATATTTCTGCATCAAGTGAACGGTGTGACCCACGGCGCATGCAATTCGCGTAGCAGTGCATTCATACTTCTGCACGCTGTTTGTGTTGTATTGTTTGTATTGCTCTGCAATAACACTTCCGAAACGCTAGTTGGCAGTAGGTGTTTATATTCCTCTGTGTTTGGTTTTTCTGAACGCTTC